TATTTCGGTGGTGAAATGTTCTAAGTAGTATATTTGTTTTGGGAAAAAATTAATTTTTGTCTCCATCAAAATTTTATTAAAGGATAATTGTAGCAGAGATTCCAAACATTTAAAATATTAGCAAACTTTCGTCAGACCTTTAATTTATTGTAATCGTCATCCCAAACCTTTAGAAACATTGCGACGGAGGCCATTTTGAACAATTTTTATCCAAATGTCTGTTAGTTAACTAAAAAATTTGACTTTGGCCTTATTTTTAATATTTTACCTTAATATTTTTGAAATGGTAAAATAGTAACTTTCCATTTATTGCATTAAAATAAGTTAGAAATTTAAAAAAAAAAAAAAAAAAAAAAAAAAAAAAAAACCAATCATCTTCTTCATCGCGTCCCACCCCCACGCCCAAAATCAGTTACTCGACCACCGCCTCCATCCCCAGCCATAAAAAGCCAAATCTAAATGTAACCTACAGAAATATGAAATCTTAAAACACAGTCTGACTGGAGAAAAGAAATCGGGCATGGCATCTAGTCAAGAAACCCAAAATAAGCAATTTTTAAACCAACTGGAGCTGCAATGCAACCAATTGGAGAGCTGAAAATGGAAGCTCTTACTCTTCCAATCTCATCAACATTGAAGAAAATCTCAAAACTCTCTCCTTTTGCTCACTCATACAGAGACGCATGATTACAACTCCTTCACAATCGAGAAAAAGAGAGCAAAAATAAAAATAACTCAATGCCCATTTGCACACGTCAAAGAAGAAAGAAAATGAACGGCCACTTCGATTTCTTTGTCTTCTTAATGAAAATGAGATGCGAAGACGTGGGTGGGGGTGAGGTGAGAGGAAAAGGATGATTGTCTTTTTTTTTTTTTCCTAATTTAATTTCTAACTTATTTTAATGTAATAAATGGAAAGTTACTATATTACCCTTTCAAAAATATTAAAAATATGGTCAAAGTCAAATTTTTTAGTCAACTAACAAACATTTGTATGAAAACCGTCCTAAAGAGCTTCCACACAACGTTTCTAAAGGTTTGGGCTGATAATTGCAACAAAAATTAAAGGTATGAAAAAAAAATCTGCTAATGTTTTAAAAGTTTGTGACCTCTACTGCAATTATCCTTTTAATAATTATGGTCATTTTACCATGCAAAATGATTGTAGCGCCTTTTATTGTAGTATCAGTACAATCTAAGCAAAGTGATTGAGGACGACAGATAAACTAGAAACTTTGTCACGTGATGTGCTTCAAAATTCGTGCAAAAAGAAAGATAGAGGGGTGTTTGCTAAGCATTTTTATGTAAAAATGTATTTTAGAATAGTAAATTGATGTGAAATGTGTGGTTGAGAAATAAGGAAAAGTTTTTGATTTACGTGTAATATTATTTTAATAAAGAATATGTGGTTGAAAAGAAGAGAGAGAGAAATGCATTTTGAAAAAAATGGCTACCAAACGGGCCAGAATATCTAAATAGATTAGAAATTCTCCTCAACTTTTTCTAAGTTGTTGTGAATGTTTATATGTTTTGAAATTGAATTTTTTATTTTTCAAAACCCATTCTCCCTTTTACAATTTTAAATTTTTTATTTTTTTTTTGGAATGACTAATTATATTCACATCACAATTTTTGTGAATTACACTGCATTTTATTTGCAATCAATGTCCCTAAAATTTGCACATTTACCACTTACATTCATTTTTACCACTTATATTCATAACTTTTTTTAATCACATTGATATTCTCAAACTTTTATTAATTTGCACATCTTGTTTCTTATAACAATTTTTATCCAAAAATTGTTAAAATAACTCTTTATTTGTCTCTCATAACTAAAATTTAAGAATGAGAAAGTAATGAAAAAAGTAATATAAATGTGCAAAAACGAAAAAAATAAAATGAAGGCCTTAAAAATGTGATGTAAATATAATCAGACTTTTCTGCGAAAAACAATAATACCTAAACTAACCCCTTTAAAAAAATTTGTTTAGGACTCGGCCGAGAGGAGGCATTGGCACGATAGAGGAAGGGTTTAATTTTTCGAGCATGCTATATGAAAAAATTTGTGTATGATCTCATTTTCAATAACATTATTGACAAAATCAATAAAGTGAATCTCATATCCACCCATTAATTGAACTTGTTATTTCATCTTACATAATATGTCACCTCACATGAAGATGATTCACTCTTTGTACATAGGGGCCCCTTACCCTTGTACATATAGTATCATTTTAACTTTTTGAGTAATGCTATTCATAATTTGGATATATGTTCAAAGTAAGGATGATCCCTGTGTAAGATTAGATAAAGTCTATAAAGTGGATTTATATCCATGCATTTTCATTTTACATCACGTGATAAATGTAAATATATCACAACTTCATTGAACAAGCGTGACAGTGACTTTATTGCCATATAGAAGGATACTAATCACAATTAATTATGAATAGCATTATTCGTCATTTTTCTTATATTTATTTTTTCAAAAATAATTTAATATTTAAATATTTTATTTCAATAAACCTTTAAAATTCTAAAATAAGAATCTATTATCAAACACAAGCCTAAAAATAATGTACAAGGACAATAAGATAAAATAAGCCACCGCGTTCAACTGTACTTGTAGAAGTTATTACTCTCAAACCGATGGTCCCAACTTGCTGTTGCATAAATATCTTAAATTACTGATGGTTGAAGGCTTTTCACCACACTAAGGCCCCCTCAATGTCTGTCTCCCCATTTCCCGAATCAGACGGCTGATCATTCACAGATAAATTTGTAAAGAACAAATGCACAGTCACGCACCATTTGATGAATGCTGTGAAACTCGAGATCGAATCACTCTGATATCAATAGAATAAGGATAATGAATTGATCAAGACTCGTTCTGAAACCCAGGAATGAAAATTGGGTTGAATTAGGGATGCTGCATCTACAGCAGTTTCGACAGCCCTCTCATATATAGGGGGTAGGGGCCCGCTTATAGCATAGAAATGCTGTACAGCATTTCTGTAAATAGCTTGATTGGTCCTTGCTCTCGTTTTCAGTGTGAGCCATTTAATTCATAGTTTTACCATCAAAGACATAATTTTAAGTCCATCCCCTTTGTTTTGTATTTTCAAACGATGCGATTCAACATGGTAAAATATTAGACAAGGTCATTAGTTCAAGTTCTGCAGCTGTCATTCGTTAATGACATACTTGAGGGAGCAATTGGAGTCGCAATATTTAATTTATTTTGCACGATCTGGCTACTCAAGATGATCACTGTCCCAAACGAGATCATAATAGATTATTTCTTCAATGTTTCATCTAAAAGCATGAACAGCTGATTTCTTTTAGATTTATTTAACTCCCAAGACATAAATGAAGATCAAGTAGTTCCTCTAACCGACACTGACAATCTCTAAATTGATTGTATTATTGCATGGATTATACTAATTTTTATGAAATTAGTTACACCTAACTGGCCATAAGCTATTTATCCCACCCCTCAATAGTTAGTCAGATAAGACTCTACGGAAGCTAAAACTAGACACGATTAAAGAATAAAGAGGACAATGTCAATGAAAAGAATCCACTCAAATAAGCCAATCTTTCGTCGTTAAGTGTACTTATTATGAGATTATTATCATATGATAAACAATGACAGCCTGCCTTAATCTAACCCAATCATGATTGTGATCATGATCATCTTCATCAATTTTAAAACCAAAAATCAGCTTCAACATCTTGGATTTTAATTTCATCTTATAAAACTCAATTAAACAC